AGATACTTATTTTTGCACTGACCAATTTTATTAGTCTATTCCTCTCTCCCAATTCATATGACTCTTTTACTAATAGTGAAGAAACCCTTCATTTAAAGTAACCATAGCAATAAATTGTAAAATTAATAATTTTTATAATATAAATATAATATATTCAGGATTTTTTATTTTTTTGTTATGTTATAATAAATTTGATTGGTTGATAATTTAATTAATTAATGTAATTTTAATAAATAACAAATAATTTTTAATTTTTTCTTAGTTTCTTTTACTTAACTTTCATTATTTTCTTCATTTTTTTATTATTACTTATTATAAGAGAATAATATATATATATATGTATTATATAATTATTAAAGAAAGGAGAAAAATCTCATTTTCTATATAATCAAAAATAATTAGCCAATTAAATATAATAAAAATCTCATATGGAAGGGGAATTACCTCTATAATAACTCAATATTATGTAATATACATGTATGTCATTTCTCTAATTTTACAATACATTAATATGAAAGAAATTCATAGATTTTACTATCATTAGTTATTTATTATACTTATCAGATGATAAAAATAGTGATAAAGTCCACAATCTTTTTTATTTCATTTATATCTGGAAGCACTATGATAATAACTTTTTCAATAATAAAATGTGGATAATACACCATATTCGTTCATATCTTATTTTTGATCAGATCGGCAAAACAAATCCGACACAAGAAAAGAGTATTAATTAAAAACGTTTGGAAGGCAAATCTATATATAACCTATATCTCAGCTCTAACCCTAACCCTAATCCTAAAACCAACCTTTTAATGTTAATTAATATTACAGTAGAATTTTCCGAGATCAACAAAACCTGGATAAACTCAAATTGGTGGATTTGTTAATATTGGGAGAAACCTTTCAAGTGGGTGAACACAGATACTTGGGACAACTTCTTCGAAAAAACCAAATTTTAACAAGGCAAATGTCATAATGCTTTAGGAACTGAACTATGACTTTTAGTTTCAGAATCTGAAAATCAGGCACCAAAGAAATCGAGAAGGCCATGCAAGATGGTTTGAAAGTCAATATGTTTTTTCGCATAGTCTGAGGGATCTAATGCAGGAGGTAATCATTCTTTCGAGAGATGTTTATTGTAAAAAACATTACCATATTTTGCGGAATGAACTATCAGGGGATACTGTAACAAGGGAGATACCGTGATTGGAAGGGGGTACGTTTCAAGGATTTATTACATTACTACTTTGTACCTGAAGATGAGAAAAACAAGCATCATTTCACAGAATTTGTATCATGGAGATAATGAAAGTCATCCATTTGACTTATTGCAGCCGAGATAACATACTTTTGCACCCGGATTTTTTACTAAAAAAAAAGGAAAGGAGATACTATGCTAAGGGGTATTTTATTCCGTAAAATACGGTACAATTATTTTCGAGATTTTTATTGTAAGAGATACCATTATTATATTATAATTATTCGCCTTCATTTCTTATGACGAACCAACTATGGTGATCCAAACAATGGACTGGACGAGCTTCGCGTATTCTGGACGTTTAGATGCTCACCAACCTTGGCGCAATAATCTTATTAGAGTCGTCCAACCGGTGCAGTATACTGCTACGGCAGACGAACTGAAAGAGTATTTGGGATTATGTATCGCCGACGGAAAAATTGAGCAGATTGGAAGCTTGTGTCAAATAAAAGATCCTTGAATTATTAGGAAGGGTATATATGTAAAGAGGTCAGACGCAAATTTTTTCGAGTCAATGTATATTTTAAAAGTTTTTACATAAATAGCTTACTATTTTTATTAGTTTAAAGTTTTAAATCTACTGTATTATTTACCCTTCGATAAAGTATCCACCCCACCCTTAATAGATTATAAAAGATATATAGTAAAATAATCGCGTCAATATAAATGTAGTGACGCGCTCACTCAAATATACACAGGAACTTTTTAAAATCTTTTTCATTTAAATTAATAAGTGTTTTCAAGTCTATTCGTGTATCCATATTTCCAAGCATCATCGCACTCTCATTTCTTCATCTTCAAAATATCTTCGGTTTTCTTTTTCATCATCTTGATCATCGATATGATCGTTCGCGACAGACGTAGAATTATTATTATTGGTGGCTGCAGGACTTGTATGATACATATGAACGGCGATACAACATAAAAATGCACCCATGAAAAACCAAACAGTCGGCTGAAAATCGAGTAACAGGTAACTGACAAGGGTCGAAAAGAACATTGCCATTGATCCCGCGTATACCTTGGTGATACTTCCAGCGTATTTGATAATTGCCGACGTGATTAATCCCATCGAGCATATCGACATTATTATACAGAAATGAATTGGATACAATGATTCAAAAAATCCTGGTGTGTCCTTTTGTGAATACGATTGAGATAAATACACGAATCCATTAAGCAGGACACCAAATATGTAAAGCTTTATATTTTGTAAGTGTATCGATTCATTTCCAAATTTATCTTTCATCACGAACTCAGTAAACACCGAAGCACCGGCTGATATCGATGAAAATACGACTATTAATAAAAGGCCTAAAGTGGATGTTGCCAAATTAAATGATCCTTCTTGGTCATAATTTATTTGGGCAATTGTCGTACCAAAAAATAATAAACCGAGTGAAATCCATTGGAGTGAACTGAGTTGTCGTTTTAGAAACAAGTACGAGAAAAATCCTGTTGTGAGAATTTTTAAATTGCTGAGCACCGAAAATGTCGGTGGATCCATCATACTCAGTATGATAAACGTCAGATTGTTATTTACAAAATAAGCAAGTGCAGGAATCCCGAATAATAATGTCGTTGATGATGTGAATATACTTGCAAGTACTCGTAGTAAATGCTGAAATCCATCATGTTGTGCTTTACCAATCAAAGTATATTGTGGTAGTGATGTCAAATTAGAAAAACAGCCAAGTTCGATAGCTAGGAAAATAATCGACACTAAATAATAGGAATAATATTAGCATCAATTTTCGTATGAATAACGCTTCATTGGTAATATCATATAGACGTCGTTGACAAATAATACACTTACAAGCCATTTTTACAAGTTCCGCTAAAAAAATCATTTTTGTCGAGTTTGGTTTGGTTTCTTCTCGCAAGTTCGCGAAACCCACGAACAGCGACTCAGACGCAACAAAAATACATAAGAAAAATGATAATAATAAAGTACTGGATCTTGTCTTTGAGCTCATATTTTGTGTAGAAAAAAAAAGTGATTTAAATGAAAGGGAATCGAATTACATGTACTATTGTCGCAACTTTTACAAAATTAATAACGATAATTAACAAACATTGTGGTGGCGAAATGGAAAAAACCATCTTCCAAATATAGGAGTAAATTATTTCACAGATACGCCAATGTAGACCTATAATTTAACTGGCTAGAATTCAATCTGAATCCAATAGTGTGATTCCGTCTGGCCTCACGGGATGTTACATTAAAAACCGGATTACCAGTTCCGTGATACGCAATTGTATAACAATAGAACAAACAACTTTTTTCCATGTGTGTTTTATAATAATGATAATAATAGCAAAAAGTACAAAAACTATTCTTATCGTTATTGTTATACGTACACAGTGACTCTCTTTATAGTGTACCCCTGACTAATTAAACTCTAATAATCCACTCGATATAGTAGATTTACTAATAAATTTTCAAAAGCTCTCGAAAATTTTTTGCTAGAACATGTAGCTTTTTGTGATACACTATAAAGAGAGTTACTGTGTTTGTGATGCGAGGAAATAATATTCGCTGTATTCGAGGAATTCAATATACGATTATGATTTGTCAAAAAGATATTATTGTGGTGTAAACAAGCCTGGAATTTTACGGAACAAATAGTATATGATTGGGATTGTCCAGATAACTTTTTTATGTACTTTTGAGAACGTCACGTTTCACTAATAAAAAATCACCGTAAAAACCATTTCTAGCTTTAAACGAATGTTAATATTCACTATGCAAAGGCAAAAAACTTTATTATTACCAACTCTATATATGTACTATTATGCTGAAAACAGTCAACGAAAAAAGACAAGCAAGATGTTTAATCTTAAAGCTTTATATGCATATATCATTTACTTTATAATTTTTAAATCTAAATAAAAGTTAAGTTCGTTGGATAATGTGTATAAATGTGAATAAATACAAGTGGTGTTGTTTAATTATAATATATGGTCAAGGGTAATAAAGATAGTGATGAATAGTATTTACTATTTAATATAAATACATGTTAAGTGTAACGGTTAATTTCTTTGATTGGTCAATAATCATGCTTGGATCGACATAAATTAGCCAATCACATGAATGTCTTCCTATGTAGATACCAATACATGAAAAAACCTGATATTTCGCTTTATCGATACAGTGCAGAACACTTAAAGATGCCAATAAAATTAGTCATCTTTAAAGCAAAGGATCTTTATACAAAGATTATACAAAAAAAAGGAGATCGCTATTTTGTAGGAAATAGGTCTAGCTACAAAATATCGGCCCCCTTTTTTTGTATGATCTTTGTAAAGATTCTTTGCTTTAAAAATGACTAATTTTATTTCTTTAAGTGTCCTGCACTGTAATAACCTAGCCATGATGAAGAAAAAGTGTTGATTAAAGCTCCAATCGGTTCAGGTCAACCCGAAACCCGACCCGAAAATCCCGATTCGGGTTGATCTCAAACCCGACCCGAAATATTTCGGATCAGCCTAAAAATCATTATTTTTCGTTCAATATTAATTGAAATTAAACGAAATTTTGTGGATATATACCTAATTACATTCCAAACAACTCTACTTAAGACACAAAATACAAATGTCTTAGTAAAAATAAAAGTTATTAGCGAAAAAATATTTACGATTTTCGGATCAAACTCGACCCGAACAGAGCTTTAGTGTTGATCACGTGATCAGAAATATGTTTATTAAAATATTAAATATTAAATATTAAGTATTAGGATTAGGGCTGAAATCAAGATTATATAAAATTGTCTTTCTGACATTTTTTAATAGTATATCAAGCTAGATTTAGATATCTATTTTTGTATTTTTTACATTTTTTTTATTTTCTTATATTAGCTGATTATTATTACATGATTGACATATTTTTTTATTATGATTAGGATATTATTTTATTAAGATATTGATGCATATTATTATTATTTCTAGTTATTACATATGAGAATATTTAGAAATGATTGTATTCATAGCAACTTTTAAATAAAAGAAATGTAAATGATAATAGTAAATAATTGATAATAACAAATTAATAATAAAATGAATGTAAAAATAAATATTAAATGTTTTTGAGTGATAATAAATAATATTAAAATAAATATATGTTATAAATTAAAGTCAAAGTGTATTATAAAAACAAAAGATAAACAGAAATAAAACAAATAAATAAATAAAAGAAACAAACAAGAAAATAAAAAAGATAAAACAAAAATTAAAATTAGAACATAATCTTTTTAGTTTATTTCAAGTTAATCTCATGTTACATATATAGTGAATTTGAATTATACTAATATATAAAGTACATATTATCTAAAGTCATCAAATATTTATATTTTATAAAATGGATAAACTTTTTTATTAAGAAATAAATACAAAATTTAATCTGTAAATATGATAGAATATACTGTTTCTGAGCATATTTACAGATTAAATTTTGTATTTACTTCTTAATAAAGAAGTTTATTCATTTTATAAAATATAAAAATTTGATAATTTTAGATAATATGCACCATATGCTATTTCTATATATAGTTTACAAAGAAAAATCAATAAAAATATAAATCTAAAACATATTGATATATGATAATTATTATATAATATTAAAAAAATATTTGTGTAAAATCTATATATCACTAACTAAATTAATATAATAATAGATAAAAATAAAATATTAATAAAATTTAGAATATAAAGTAATATAATAATATTATAAATTAATTGATTATTTAAATGATAATAAAATTTAAATTAAAATAATGCAATAATAGTATAAAATAATTAGATAAGAATATAAATTATTGCTATTGAATAAAAATATAAGAAAATATAAAAGTAAAAATATTAAAAAGAATATTACTATATTTAAAATAATATATGATAATAATAATAATGAAAGATAAAATGATAACAATATTAATTACTTTAATAAATACTAACTAAATATATAAATAATCAGCTCTTAATATACTCTAACAAGCAAATTTTATTGAATTTATATTATTTATAATAGGATTAATATATATATATATTGTTATAATTAGATATTTTTTATAATTACAAATGATCATTTCACATAATCACTTCACATAATTACTTCAAATGATCACTCTGAATGATCATTTCAAATGATTATTCCAACTGATCATTTCAAGCATTCTAAATGATTATTTCAAATGCTTTGAATAATCATTTTAAATGATTATTTTATAATTATACTTATAAATACAGCTTGTATTTTAGCTTTAAAAAATTAATTAATTCTAATTAATTAAGTTTTATATTCTTTTAATAATCCTTTAGATAGTGTTTTCATAATTTTTTGTCTTAATTGTGAAGTTATTCTTGTATTGTTTTATAATTTCTTATTACTATTGCAAAGTTATATTATCTTATATATTCTTGTATTTGATCTCTTATCTATATTGCAAAGTCAATAATAGTATTGAATTAATAAAAGAAAATTATATTTTACTTGTTTATAAATCAACACTTAACTTATTATAAATTGAATTATAAAAAGTACAATTATCTTTGAATCTTTTTGATCTTATTCTAGCTAACCAACAAAATAAACATATGTTACTTACTTTTAAATAACTTAGTAAACTCTTCTAACTTAAAGTTATTTAATACATTAACTCTTTCACCTGACTTTATCACATGTACTCTCATAACAAAACATAAAGTCATATTAAAATGGTAACAAAATGTAACAATTTTCACATACCCTTGTAATTTCTTGTATCATATCTATTCTTTTTTGTGTTATGTTTATCATTTCTTGCATAACATATTAGAAATTAACACAGATCTACATTTAATATTTCTTAATATTTTGCTAATTAGATTAGATGTAAAATATAAATTATATTATTAATTTGGATACACATTATTTTTAATTACTTTTATTTTATTCGTTCTTTTTCTTTTTCTTTTATTATTTTTAATTCGTATTAATTATTTTTTATTATTATTTATATTTCATATATATTCATTAAGTATAGCATAATTTGGAGATGTGTCACCTTTAAGATTAATAATTTAGAACCAATTAATTTCTATTTTATTATTAAATTATT